TTTTCCTTTCCTTTCCATTTTCCTTTCCAAGTCCTCTGAATTTCCCTTTCCTTTTCCTCTGAATTTCCTTCCTTCCATTTCCTTCCTTCCTATTTTTCCTTTTTTTTCCATTCCTTTTTCCTTTCCTTTCTCCTTCCATTTTTCATTCTTCCTCTCCTTTCCCCTTTTTCCCTTTCCCCTTTTTCCTTTTTTTCCCCTTTCCCCCTTTCCCCTTTTTCCCCATTTTTCCTTTTTTTCCCCTTTCCCCCTTTCCCCTTTTCCCCTTCCCAGGGATTTCAGGAGCAGCAGCACAGGGACAATCCAAACCTGTCCCTACAGCACAAGAAAAAGCTGCTGCTCACCCTGAGAATGAGGAATCTCCTCCCACCTCAACATAAAAAACTGATTTCCCCCCACAAAACACCTGAAAACCCAACCCTGAAACAGCCCCAGCGCACAAACCCCGCTGGGAAATTCCCCTTTTCCCCTCCTGGATGGAGGATTCCCTCTCCTGAGCATCCCAGGCCCATTTCTCAGGGGCTGCAATCCCAGCCCTCGCTCCCAGGGCCTGCAGCCAAGGCCCAGCAATGATTTGGAGCTGACTTCTCTTCCCTGGCCCTGGGAAGGTTCAGCTCATTGCAGCATTTCTGGGAGGATGCCCTGAGAATTCCCAAAATCCCGGGCACACAGCACTGCCAGGAGCCCTGCTCCATGGAACAGGAGAGATGGGTTTATGTATTCCCTGAGTCCTCACTGCCAAGCTGGAAATCTGGGATTTATCCATTCTCACATTCCTGATTCCCAAGCTGGTGCCTGGAAATCTGGGATTTGGGGCCTGGAAATATGGGATTTATCCATTCTCACATTCCTGATTCCCAAGCTGGAGCCTGAAAATCTGGGATTTATCCATTCTCACATTCCTGATTCCCAAGCTGGTGCCTGGAAATCTGGGATTTGGGGCCTGGAAATTCACATTCCTGATTCCCAAGCTGGAGCCTGAAAATCTGGGATTTATCCATTCTCACATTCCTGATTCCCAAGCTGGAGCCTGGAAATCTGGGATTTCTTCTCACATTTCTGATTTCCAAGCTGAGGCCTGGAAATTTGGGATTTCCTCTCACGTTCCTGATTTCCAAGATGGAAATCCCACATTTCTGATTTCCAAGCTGGGGCTTGGAAACCTGGGATTTGGGGCCTGGAAATCTGGGATTTCTTCTCATATTCCTGATTCCCAAGCTGGAGCCTGGAAATCTGGGATTTCTTTTCACATTTCTGATTTCCAAGCTGGGGCCTGGAAATTTGAGATTTCCTCTCACATTCCTGATTTCCAAGCTGGAAATTTGGGATTTATCCTCACATTCCTGATTTCCCAACTGGAGCCTGGAAATCTGGGATTTATTTCTTCTCACATTCCTGATTTCCAAGCTGAGGCCTGGAAATTTGAGATTTCCTCTCACGTTCCTGATTTCCAAGCTGGAAATTTGGTATTTATTTCTTCTCACATTCCTGATTTCCAAGCTGGAAATTTGGGATTTATTTATTCCCATATTCCTGATTTCCAAGCTGGGGCCTAGAAATCTGGGATTTCTTCTCCCATTCCTGCTGGAGCTGAGGAAGCAGCACCAAGCTGTGCCCTGCTTTTCCCTGCTCAGCTTTCCCAGGAACAGACATTCCCAAACAACACGAGCACCCCCAAACCAGCACTGCCAGCCCTGGGACAAACCCTCATTTTCCCCCAAACAGCCCTTTGCCAGGAGCTGGGATGGATTTTGGGGTGTTCCAGAGGGTTGGAGGAGCAACCAGAGCAACCCCCAGCAATTCCTTCTCCTGGATCAGCTCCTGCACTCCCTGTGCTGACAGAATTCCCAAAATTCAGCTCATTCCCAGGAGCTTTTGCCCTACAATGATTTCCTGGGATGGGACAGAAAGGATCCACCTTTTCCTGGTGGATCCCAGATTTCTCTGGGTAATTCCAGCCTCACAATTCCGAGGGATTCTTTGCCCCAAAGCTTCCAGAAGAGCAAGCAAGCCTGGAGGGAAGGAAGGAAGGAAGGAAGGAAGGAAGGAAAGAAGTGACTTTTCCCACAATTTCCAAGAGCATTTTCCATCCCAGGAATGCTCCAGGAGCAGGGCACAGGACTGGTGAAAGAAGCTAAAAAATAAAAGCCTAATCCAGGAATCATTTTGGAAACTAACTGGAGAATCTGTTTCATCCTGGAATTTCTTCCCATTAAAGGGAGAAAGCAAAGGGAAAAGCTCATACTTTAAAAAAAGCCTGGATATTAAAGATTCCAAGGAATGAAGTGGCCAGCCCAGAGCTCCCCACACAATTCTCTCCCTTCCCTGCCCCTGGTTTTATTCCCAGCTCTGAACTGGGAATCAGCAGCTCCACCTGGACCCCAGGCACAGATCCAAACCACTCCACCTCCAAAAACCTTGGGACAACAGGGGGACCTGTCCTTTTCCTGCCACCTTTTCCCACTGTTCTCCAGAGCTGCCCCTGCTATTCCTTTAGAACTCATTCCTGAACCTGGGATCCATGGATTCCTCCCACTCCTGCCCTTCCCAGCAGCAAAACTGGTTTTTATTGGAGTTTTTTCCTGCTTCAGCAGATCACACAGCAGCAAAAGTGCTTTTATTGGAATTTTTCCTGGGCACTTTGGGCTCCTGGATTGAAGTGGCCTCCCAAACTGCAGGAATGGGCCAAAGCACATTGTGCCAATCCAGGAATGATGTTTTATTCCACTTTTTTCCCCTCTCCCACACAAACCCTGGCTGGTTCCACGGCCACTGCCTGGCCAGAATGAGCAGTGAGATCTGCAGGGCTCTGCCAACAGGAGGGAGAAGCAGCAGCTGGGCAAGGATCAAAGCCAGCCCTGGCCTAGGCTGAGCTTATTGGGCTTTTCAAAGAGAGATCCTATAAAACCTGAGCCCTGCCTCATTTCCCCACCCAGAGCCCTGCAAGAGGAAGTTGGCACCACTCCCATCCAGTAAATTCTGAGGCAATGGCCCCTGAGTGACAAACCCACCTCATGTGAGCAACTCCCTCTCCTGGGCCCAGCCCCCTGGAGAAAAACCAGCAGCCAGTGGGGGTTTTACATCCCCGAGGAGCTGGGGAGGGAACACCCACTGCTCTGCAGGGACAGAGCTGTGCCCACTGAAATCCCACTGGCACAAAGGGAACCACCCCACCAGCCCCTGGCTCTCAGCTGCAGGGAGCAGCACTTCTTCACTCCAAGGTGGAATGAACCTCCCACAAGGCAGCAGTGAACTGGCTCCTTGCTTCCTTTTCCTTTTCTGTCCCCTTTCATTTTGTCTCTCCTTTCCTTTTCCTTCCCCCTTTCTCCTTTTCCTTTTCCCTTTCCTTTTTCCTTCTCCCTTTCCCCTTTGCTCTTTGGTTTTTCCTTTCCCCTTTCCTTTTTCCTTTTCCCTTTCCCCTTTCCCCTTTGCTTTTTCATTTTTCCTTTTCCCTTTGCTCTTTCATTTTTCCTTTCCCCTTTGCTCCTTCATTTTTCCTTTCCCCTTTGCTCCTTCATTTTTCCTTTCCCCTTTCCTCCTTCATTTTTCCTTTCCCCTTTGCGCTTTCATTTTCCCTTTCCCCTTTCCCTTCTCCTTCCCCTCCTCCCACACAGGGAACATAAAGAGCTCTGGCTCCCAATATCAGGTCACATCCCCCTGCACTCAAAAATCCACAATTCCAAATCCCCGAGGTCTGACATCTGCAGGGCTCTGCCAACAGGAGGGAGAAGCAGCAGCTGGGCAAGGATCAAAGCCAGCCCTGGCCTAGGCTGAGCTTATTGGGCTTTTCAAAGAGAGATCCTATAAAACCTGAGCCCTGCCTCATTTCCCCACCCAGAGCCCTGCAAGAGGAAGTTGGCACCACTCCCATCCAGTAAATTCTGAGGCAATGGCCCCTGAGTGACAAACCCACCTCATGTGAGCAACTCCTTCTCCTGGGCCCAGCCCCCTGGAGAAAAACCAGCAGCCAGTGGGGGTTTTACATCCCCGAGGAGCTGGGGAGGGAACACCCACTGCTCTGCAGGGACAGAGCTGTGCCCACTGAAATCCCACTGGCACAAAGGGAACCACCCCACCAGCCCCTGGCTCTCAGCTGCAGGGAGCAGCACTTCTTCACTCCAAGGTGGAATGAACCTCCCACAAGGCAGCAGTGAACTGGCTCCTTTTCCTTTTCTGTCCCCTTTCATTTTCTCTCTCCTTTCTTCCTTCCTCCTTTTCCTTTTCCTTCCCCCTTTCCTTTTTCCTTCTCCCTTTCCCCTTTGCTCTTTGGTTTTTCCTTTCCCCTTTCCTTTTTCCTTTTCCCTTTCCTCTTTCATTTTGCCTTTCCCCTTTCATTTTTCCTTTCCCCTTTCCTTTTTCCTTTTCCCTTTCCCCTTTCCCCTTTGCTTTTTCATTTTTCCTTTTCCCTTTGCTCTTTCATTTTTCCTTTCCCCTTTCCTCTTTCATTTTTCCTTTCCCTTTTCCCTTTCCCCTTTGCTCTTTCATTTTTCCTTTCCCCTTTGCTCCTTCATTTTTCCTTTCCCCTTTCCTCCTTCATTTTTCCTTTCCCCTTTCCTTTTTCATCTTTCCTTTCCTCTTTCCTTTTTCATCTTTCCTTTCCCCTTTCCTCTTTCATTTTCCCGTTCCCCTTTGCGCTTTCATTTTCCCTTTCCCCTTTCCCTTCTCCTTCCCCTCCTCCCACACAGGGAACATAAAGAGCTCTGGCTCCCAATATCAGGTCACATCCCCCTGCACTCAAAAATCCACAATTCCAAATCCCCGAGGTCTGACAAAAGTAACTCCAGTGAGGCATCAACAGGGAGCTGCCTGCTCCTAAAATCAACAAACCACCAGGTTTCCCCCAAAATCCCACCCCACAGAGGCTCTCACAGCGCAGGGAAACCCACAAAGCCAATTTTTTGTGGGACCTCCTCACAGAAAGGAGCCGGGCAGGGGAGCCCAGCCTGCAGGAGCGCTCCTGAGGGAGGGAAATGCAGGTTTTGAGCAGGGAATGCAGCACTGACCTGTTTGAGCTGCTCGTCCAGGCGCCAGCGGGCCGGGGCCGTGCCCGGCTGCTCCCTGCCCCGCGGCTGCCCCGCGCCGGGCACGGGGCTGGCACCACAGCCCCCCCTGGGCTTGCCCTGGGCGCCTTTGGGAGCGCGGAAATACGGCAGGGCAGGGCAGCTCGGCTGGCCGGCCACCCCGGAGCCGTCCTCCAGCTCAGCGCCGTCCTCTTCATCCTCCTCGTCATCCTCCTCCTCCTCGTCCTCCTCCTCGTCCTCAGAGTTCGCGCTGCTCTGCTCCAGGGCCCGGCTGGCCGCGGCGGGGGCTCTGCCCGCGGGCACGGCGGGTGACACCGCCGGGGGCACGGCGGGTGACAGCCCCGGGGCGCGCCCGGCGCGGGGCTGGCCGGGGAAGGGCGGCGGCGTCGGGAAGGGCACCTGCGGCTCCCGGCGGCGCTCCCGGCAATCCATGGGCACCGCCGGCTGCTGCTGCTGCTGCTGCTGCTGCTTCTGCAGCTGCTCCACCACCGCCTGCAGCTTCATCCCGCCGTGCGCATGGCTGGCGGCCCCGGCGGGAGCCGCGCAGGATCTGCCGGGGAGACAAACGCGGCTGAGGCGGAGCGGCCGCCGCTGCCGCTTTCATCCCTTCCCAGGAAGGGAGGGGATGCACGGAGCAGAGCCGGGGCTCTTTCCGGCGCACGAGACCGCGAAACAATCGGCTCGGCACGGCTCGGCTCGGCACGGCCGCGGGCTGCAGCAGTGCAGAGCCCCCAGGCACCGCGGCGCTGAGCGGGACGGGATCCCCGCGCCCCGCGGCAGCGCCGGGGACCGCGATGGCACCGGGGCTGCGGGGCGGCCTGAGGGGACACGGGCCGGGCCGCGCCGGGCCATATTATAGATAGAAATACATAGCCTCACTTTCAGGGTCACTTTTGGTGTCTTTCCCCAGGTTTTTGTGCCCCTTTCTTATTTTCAGAGTAATTTTTGGTGTCTCCCCTCACTTTTTGTGTCTCTCCCTCACTTTCAGGGTTATTTTTTGTGTCCCTGCTTCACTTTTAAGGTCATTTTTGGTGTCTTTCCCCAGATTTTTGTGCCCCTTCCTTACTTTCAGAGTCACTTTTGGTATCTCTCCCTCACTTTTTGTGTCCCTGCCTCACTTTCAGGGTCTTTTTTGGTGTCTTTCCCCAGTTTTTTGTGTCCCTTCCTTGCTTTCAGGGTCACTTTTGGTACCCCTGCCTCACTTTCAGGGTCATTTTTGGTGTCTTTCTCCAGATTTTTGTGCCCTTTCCTTAGTTTTAGAGACATTTTGTGTCCCTGCCTCACTTCCAGGGTCACTTTTGGTGTCTTTCCCCAGCTTTTCGTGTCCCTTCCTTGCTTTCAGGGTCACTTTTTGTGTTCCTCCCTCACTTTTGGCATCTCCCCCTGTCATTTTTGGCATCTCTCACTTTTTGTGTCCTTCCCTCTCTTTCAGGGTCACCTTTTTGTGTCCCTCCTTCACTTCCTGGGTCACTTTTGGGGTCCCTCCCTCACTTCCAGGGTCTCCCCCTGTCATTTTTGGCTTCTCTCCCCCACTTTTGGTGTCCCTCCCTCATATTCAGAGTCACTTTTGGCATCCCTGCCTCACTTTTTGTGTCCCTTCCTTACTTTCAGGGTCACTTTTGGTGTCTCTCCCTCACTTTTTGTGTCCTTCCAGGGTCTCCCCCTGTCATTTTTGGCTTCTCTCCCGTTTTTTGTGTCCCTCCCTCACATTCAGGGTGACTTTTTGTGTCTGTTCCCCACTTTTTGTGTCCCTGCCTCACTTTCAGTGTCTCCCTTCTGTCACTTTTTGTGTCCCTGCCTCACTTTCAGGGTTCCCCCACGACTTTTTGTGTCTCTCCCTCACTCCCAGAGTCTCCCCCTGTCCCTTTTTGTGTCCCTCCCCTGGTTTTTGTGTCCTTCCCTCACATTCAGGGTCCCTTTTGGTGTCCCTGCCTCACTTTCAGGGTCTCCCCCCCACACTTTTGGCATCCTCCCCTCGTTTTTAGGGACACTTTTGGTGTCTTTCCCCAGTTTTTTGTGTCTCTGCCTCACTTTCAGGGTCATTTTTGGCTTCTCACCCATTTTCTGTGTCCCTCCCTCACATTCAGGGTCACTTTTGGTGTCTTTCCCCAGTTTTTTGTGTCTCTGCCTCACATTCTGGGTCACTTTTTGTGTCTCTGCCTCACTTTCAGGGTCATTTTTGGCTTCTCACCTATTTTTTGTGTCCCTCCCTCACATTTAGGGTCCCTTTTAGTGTCCCTCCCTCACTTTATGTGTCTCTCTCTCACTTTCTGGGTCACTTTTTCCGTCCCTCCTTCGCTTTCTGGGTCACTTTTGGTGTCCCTCCCTCACTTTTCCCGTCCCTCCCTCACTTTCAGGGTCTCCCCCCACCACTTCTGGCACCCCTCCCTCGCTTTCAGGGTCGCTTTTCGTGCCCCTCGCTGTCCCTGCCTCCCTCCCAGGCTCGTTCCCGGTGTCCCCCGCTCACTTTCCCGGCCTTTCCCCGCTGTCCGAGCGCGTTCCCCAGGCCCGGGCCGAGTTTCCCCGGTTTTCCCCTCCCCGCCCAGCCCCATTAATTCCGGAATTTCCCGGCTCCCTCGGGAACCGCCTGCAGGGGCCAAACCCGCACCGAGGGCCGGCAATTAATTCATTAACCAACTAACTAACTAATTAATCCCCGCCCGTTTTACCGCGGGAAGGAGCGAGGGCTCCGAGCCTCCCCTCAGGCGGAAACAGCGCGGGGCCCGACCCGCCCTCAGCACCGCGGCTGGCCCCGTTACCTCCCGTGGCGGGTCCCGCCGGTCCGTGCGCGGCCGCCTCAGCTCCTCCTTCCTTCCTTCCTTCCGTCCTCCCCTCCTTCCTTCCCTTCCTTTCCTTCCTTTCCCTTCCCTTCCTCCTTCTCCTCCCGCCCCTTCCTCGCCCGGCCGGAAGCGCCCTCACCGCCCTGGCCGCTTCCGGGAACGGCCCCGGGGAGGGAGGGAGGGAAAGCGGCAGCCAATCAGAAAGCGCGGTGCCGGCCGGCTTCCGGTTCCGGGTGGTATAAAAGGCGCGCGCGGCGCGCGGGCCCGGCAGTCGCGGAGGAGGCGCCGGCGGGGGCTGAGGGAGCGCGTGAGGGTGAGCGCGGCTCTGGGGGCGCCCGGAGCCCGGCGGGACAGCGGGGACGGTGTTTGGGGGTTCCCCCCGTGTGTGTTTGGGCTTTGAGGCGTGGCTTAGGGGTCCCTCGGAGAGGGGGTTAGGGGCGCGTTGTGTCTGTTCGCCCTCTGAGGGTGGGTTTAGAGGAGTTCCCTGTGTCCCTTTGGGTTTTCACCGTGGGGTTAATGGTTTCTCAGGGGGGTTTAGAGGCTTGTCCCTGTGTGTTTGGGCTTGTGGGGGGGAATTTAGGGGTGTGTTTGTCGGGGAACGGGTTAGTGTCCCTTCATGTCTGCTGAGGCCCTCGGACGGGGCTTAGGGCCCCTCCGTGTCTATTTGGGCCCTGAGGGCAGGGTTAGGGGTCCCCCAATGTCTATTTTGTGTGTTAGGGCAGGGTTAGGGGTCCCCCAATGTCTATTTTGTGTGTTAGGGCAGGGTTAGGGGTCCCCCAATGTCTATTTTGTGTGTTAGGGCAGGGTTAGGGGTCCCCCAATGTCTATTTGGTCTCCCCCTCATGCCTGTTTGGGCCCTTAGGCAGAGTTGGGGGTTCCCCTCATGTCTGTTCAGGATTTGGGGTACCCCCGTGTCTGTCTGGGCTGTCAGGGAAGGTTGGGATCTGCTGCTGCAGCCATTGGGGTGGAATTAGGGATTCCCCTGTGTGGGTTTGGGGTGGGTGGGCTCTGGCAGGGAAGGGGGATGGGGACCTTAATTCCCTCAGATCCCTGGGAAAGGACTGCGAATCTCAGAACACTTTGGGCTGGAAGCACCTCAAGGATGTTCTCACTCCCGTTGTGGGAGGGGACACCTCCCACAGCCCTGTGCTGTCCCCCAGGGACTCCGTTTATTCCTGGGTGTTTTGGGGGGCATAAAGAGATCTTTCCTCTCCCTGCCCTGCCCCGCAGACCCCCCAGGGCTCCATTCCCGCCCTCCCCGGTGCCTCCCTGCCCTTCCCCAGTGCCAGCCCGCTGTCGCTCTGCCCGCAGGCCGGGCGGGATGGCGGACGAGGAGATCGCAGCCCTGGTGGTGGACAACGGCTCGGGGATGTGCAAGGCGGGCTTCGCGGGCGACGACGCGCCCCGCGCCGTCTTCCCCTCCATCGTGGGCCGGCCGCGGCACCAGGGCGTCATGGTGGGCATGGGCCAGAAGGACAGCTACGTGGGGGACGAGGCGCAGAGCAAGAGGGGCATCCTCACCCTCAAGTACCCCATCGAGCACGGCATCGTCACCAACTGGGACGACATGGAGAAGATCTGGCACCACACCTTCTACAACGAGCTGCGCGTGGCGCCCGAGGAGCACCCGGTGCTGCTCACCGAGGCCCCCCTCAACCCTAAGGCCAACAGGGAGAAGATGACGCAGATCATGTTCGAGACCTTCAACACCCCGGCCATGTACGTGGCCATCCAGGCCGTACTGTCCCTTTACGCCTCGGGCCGCACCACGGGCATCGTGATGGACTCCGGCGACGGCGTCACCCACACGGTGCCCATCTACGAGGGCTACGCCCTGCCCCACGCCATCCTGCGCCTGGACGCACTATCACAGCGACAGGCAGGGCTCCGTGGGGAGGGCAGGGTGGGCACGGGGGGGCTGGAAAGGCTCTGACCGCCCTTTCTCTCTCTCCTGGTGCAGATCATTGCCCCACCCGAGCGCAAGTACTCGGTGTGGATCGGGGGCTCCATCCTGGCCTCGCTCTCCACCTTCCAGCAGATGTGGATCAGCAAGCAGGAGTACGACGAGTCCGGCCCCTCCATCGTGCACCGCAAATGCTTCTAGAGGGGCTGCTGGCAGCACCCCCGCCCCGCTGGCACCTCCTGCCACCCCCGGCCACCGCGGTGTCCCCCGCTCCTTAGCTCCCCCGCCCTCGTCCAGGTACTAATTAGTGTGTGTTTGAATGGCTTGTTAGGCTCCCGCTCCCCTTCCTCGCGAGGGGGTTGTTCACGTTCCCTGTGTAACACCGATAGGATGGCACTACAGTTAGGTTTGTCACCTCTAGGTTTGTCACCTTTAGGGTCCTTTGTAGGAAAACAAATAAACTTCCCAGGTTTAAACACTAAAAAAAAAGCTGGTTTTGCTTGCTTTCTTTCAGGGGTGGGTTCTCTATCCCCTTGAATCCCACAAAGAATTATTGGGTGAAAGGTTTTGGGATTTTGACCTGGCTTGAAGTTAAAGCTTAGCCTGAATTTTGTTTTCTGAATTCTCTTTAAATCCCATCACGGCCCCAGCGCTGCTCGGACCATTTTAAGAGCTGTTAGGGAGCAAAGCGTGCCTGGAATGTGGCTCTTGCAGCCTGACTGGACTTTCATGGTAACTTGGCTTTTTTTAGAACACAAACAGCTCTTCTTGTCAGAAAAAGTCGGCGCCTTGGCACAGGATTTGGTCACCGGAGCAGTGGCCTCTCCTTTTTTGGGAGAGGGTGAGGAGATGGAGCAGGGAATAGTGCTGAAGAGGGGGCAGCTTCACACAGCTGGGCCCTCCGGCGTTGGCGGGGTATCTACGGGAGCTGCTCGCCCACGGCGGAGGGATGGCAGCCGCTTAATTACCCGGGTAGCGTTAATTAGATGCTGTCGTGGCGGGGGAATGTGGCGGGACTGCGCGCCCCGCGCCGCGCCCCTCCCTTTAAACCCTCGGCCGCCCGCCCATTGGCTGGCCGTGGTAGAGCCAGCCAATCAGCAGCGCTTTCTCCTCCGGGGGGGGCGTTACCGCCTACTCTGCCGGACTCGATTTCCCAGTGCGCATCGCGCTTCCCACAGCACTTCCGCTTCTGGTTCGTTGGGGTGAGGTAGCGCGGAGCTGGGGGGGCCGGCCGGGACCGCCGTGAGGGGCGGGAGGGAGGCACGGCCGGGACCCTGCTGAGGTGGGGAGGGGAGGGAGGCACGGCCGGGACCCTGCTGAGGTGGGGAGGGGAGGGAGGCACGGCAGGGACCGCCGTGAGTTGAAGGGCGGCCTGAGGGGGGTATGGCTGTGACCCTCTGAGCTGAGGGGGAGGTCGGGTCTTGGGGGCTGGGACCCTCCTGAGCTGAGAGGGGGGATTGGGGTGCGGGACCGCCGGGATCCCCCTGAGCTGAGGGCAGGGGCTGGGGGAGCGCAGCCGGGATCCCCCTGAGCTGAGGGGAAGGTCTGGGGGAGCACGGCCGGGGGATCCCCCTGAGGGACGAGGAGGGTCTGGGGGGAACAGGGCCGGGGGGTCCTCCTGAGCTGAGGGGAGGATTGGACCGGGGGACATTCGGGGGATCCCCCTGAGGGGAGGCTCTGGGGGAGCACGGCCGAGGGATCCCCCTGAGGGGTGAGGAGGGTTTGGGGGGCACACGTCCTGACCCTCCTGAGCTTAGGGGGAGGCTGTGGGGGAGAGCAGCCGGGATCTCCCTGAGTGCCGGGAGGTATCCGGGCTCTGGGGCCCGGGAGCCACTGCCGGGATCCTCCTGAGTGCCGGGGGTGATCGGGGGCTCTGGGGAGGGGGAGCCGTGGCCGGGACCCACCCCGAGCTCAGGGGAGGCTCTGGGGGAGCACGGCCGAGGGATCCCCCTGAGGGGTGAGGAGGGTTTGGGGGGCACACGTCCCGACCCGCCTGAGCTGAGGGGATGCTCTGGGGGAGAACAGCCGGGATCCCTGAGCTGAGGGGGGGATCGGGGCTCTGGGGCCCTGGAGCCGGGGCCGGGACCCCGCTGGGCATCGGGGCCGGGGCTCTGCGGGGTGTCACCCGCTGTGTCCCCCGCTGTGTCCCCAGCGCCCCCCGCCATGGCCCTGCCCGAGTGGCACATCGCCGTGAAGCTGGCCGAGCAGCCGCTGGCCCCCAAAGCCATCCTGCGCCTGCCGGAGACCGAGCTGGGCGAGTGCCCGCTGGGCGGCTGCAGCATCTCGCACCTCAAGCAGCTGATCACGGGCAAGCTGCAGGAATCCATGCCGGACCCCGAGCTCATCGGTGCGTGCCCCGCCGCCGTCCCGCCGCTTGGGGACACCCTCGGCCCGTCCTCGCCGCGGCCGGGACGCGACATCCCGCTGCTGGTGGTGGGAGGGCTCGGTGTTCGTTCCCTGTTTCCTTGGGATCGCGGCGCTCCAGCCGCGGCAGTGCCCTTGTTCGGGAATATTGGGGCTTTCCACCAGCTGTGTGTCCTTGCGAGAGCTCTCCTGAGAGCTGGGAGGGAGGTCAGCTCTTACGCAGGAGGTGATTCTGCCAGCTCCTCCAGATCAGCTCCGTGATTTCCCTGCTGGTTCTCAGCTCCACAGCTTCCCTGTGTTGTTCCCTAGCCAGTTGGAGCAGCTACGGCTGCTCAGTAACCCCTCGGGCTCTGAGGCACACTTAGAGACCCCCAGCTGGTTCTGAGAGCACCACAGGTGTTTATCTTCAGGTGTTTCTCCCCCCAGACCTGATCTACTGTGGCCGGAAGCTGAGGGATGACCAGACCCTGGATTTTTATGGAATCCAGTCTGGCTCCACTGTCCATGTCCTGCGCAAGTCCTGGCCTGAGCCTGACCAGAAACCAGGTGAGGAGCTGTGGGGATTGCCCCGTGCATTCTCCTTGGGATGTGCTTTATTAGGGACTGAGGAGCAGCTTCTCTAGGGATTCACTGAATGAATCCCTGTGTTTGGGAACCCTCCCAGCAGCACCTGGGTGTTGGTTTTCCTGCTGACACAAGAGTTAAGGAATGAGCTGTGCAGTATGGAGGGGGATCAGCCCTTCCTTAATTGCCCGTGATCCATTCTAGGCATTGCCAAGGGATGTGGAGCAAAGCCCCAGGGATGAGCAGGCTGCTGTGTGCCTGACTGTACAAAGAGAGGAGCTTGAGCTGGCATTCCTGTAATGGCACACGTGGGAGGATATTCCTGACTATTTTTATGATCTGAGAATGCAGCAAGTCATTACTCTGCAGTGCCTGCACCCCATCCAAGGATGTGAGAGCATCCTTGTTGCAGCATGGAGGTCCCAGTGGGCTGTGGAATGGCTTTGAGGGCTGACAAAGGCCCAGCTGTGTTTTGTTGTGCTGTTTTGCCCCCTCAGAGCCCGTGGATAAGGTGGCAGCAGTCCGGGAATTCCGTGTGCTGCACACTGCCCTGCACAGCAGCCCTGCCTACAGAGATGCTGTGAGTGCTCTGCTCCTGGGGGAATTCAGCTGTCCTCTCCCTCTGGGGACAGTCCCACAGTGGGGGACATTCCCAACCTGCTCTGCTTTCCCTGGCAGGTCTTCAAGATGCTGGGAAACAAGGAATCCCTGGATCAGATCATTGTGGCTACTCCTGGCCTCAGCAGCGACCCCGTGGCTCTGGGTGAGTCTGGCTGTGATGCACAGGATCTGAGGAAAGGCTGGATTCCTGATGGGGAAGGGACAGACACAAATCTAGTTTGAATTCCTGATAGGGAGAAGAGAGAGTTAAAAAAAACCTTCATTTTTTTGTCCCTTTGTGGTGCGTGAGTCAGTGACTGTGCAGGTGTCAGTTTTGCTCCATTGGTGATGTTTGGGAATGGATCCTGACTTCAGAAGAGTCAGGGAAAGAAGGGATGGAGCTCTCTCCTTGGCTTCAGAAGAGTCAGGGAAAGAAGGGATGGGGCTCTCTCCTTGGGGATGGATCCTGGCTTCAAAAGGATCAGGGAAGAGAGGGATGGAGTTCTGTCCTTGGCTTCAGAAGAGTTGGGAAAAGAAGGGATGGAGCTCTCTCCTTGGCTTCAGAAGAGTCAGGGAAAGAAGGGATGGGGCTCTCTCCCTGCTGCAAAGTTCTCCAAAGTGGTTGATTAAATCCCGCCTGTTCTGGGATGGTGGCAGCCCGAGGCAGGTGGAATTTGGGATACCACAGAATGGTTCATGAAATCCAGCCTGCTCTGGGATGGTGGCAGCCCGAGGCAGGTGGAATTTGGGATGCAGTCACAGCCTGGCTGCAGGGAGCTGGGGCCCAGCTTCCATCCTGCCCTTGAGGTGGGGCACCCACGGATCTGCAGGAAAAGCCCTGTCCCTTTTGTCCCTTGGGTGTGTGGCTGTGACCACACAGAGCCTCTCCAGGAACACAAAGGCTTCAGAGGAACAATGGGAGTATTTGTGGTGTTTACTCATGACTCACTTCCTGGAAAACAATTCCTATTTATTTGTCCTTGTGGCTTTTGTGTGCCTGGCTCCTGTGTGTTGTATCCTGTCTCACGGTGTTTCCTGGTCTTTTCCAGGAGTTCTGCAGGACAAGGATCTGTTCTCAGTGTTTGCAGACCCCAGCATGCTGGACACGTAAGTTCCCCAAGCTGGGGCAGTGATTCAGCAGTGCCTTTGTGTCCCTGCGTGTCACCTGGGTGGGACAGAGCTCTGCTCCTGCCTGCCACGCTGGGTCATTCCTCTCAGGAACCACGGATCCACCACCTGGGTTAATCCAGAGGGTGTTTGGTGGGAGGCAGGGTCATCATCACCTCCAGATCAGGCTTCAGGCCTGGATGAACTTCTCACAGGGAGAGCTGCTCCCATGAGAACCTTGGAAAAGTCAGCATGGGTCCAGAAGGGTCCTTGGTGAGCTGAGACAAGGTCTAGTGTGGTCCAGTAGAGGATTCTTGGAGAACTGAGGAAAGGTCCAGCATGGGATCCAGAGGATCCTTGGTAAACCAAGGAAAGGTCTAATGTGAATCCAGAAGGATCCCTGGTGAACCAAGGCAAGGTCAGGTCCGGAAGGATCCTTGGAGAACTGAGACACGGTCCAACATGGGGTCCAGAAGGGTCCTTGGAGATCCAAGGAATGGTCTAATGTGAATCCAGAAGGATCCAGAGGGATCCAAGGCCAGGTCCAGCGTGGATCCAGCATGGCTCCAAGGCCAGGTCCAGTCATTCCTCTCAGGAACCACGGATCCACCACCTGGGTTAATCCAGAGGGTGTTTAGTGGGAGGCATCACCTCCAGATCATGCTTCAGGCCTGGATGAACTTCTCACAGGGAGAGCTGCTCCCATGAGAACCTTGGAAAAGTCAGCATGGGTCCAGAAGGGTCCTTGGTGAGCTGAGACAAGGTCTAGTGTGGTCCTGCTCAACCCTGGCTGTGCCTTCCCTCAGGGTCCCTGTGTGGATCCAGAGGATCCTTGGTAAACCAAGGAAAGGTCTAATGTGAATCCAGAAGGATCCCTGGTGAACCAAGGCAAGGTCAGGTCCGGAAGGATCCTTGGAGAACTGAGACATGGCCCAACATGGGGTCCAGAAGGAGCCACGGTGAACTGAGACAAGGTCCAACATGGGGTCCAGAAGGGTCCTTGGAGATCCAAGGAATGGTCTAATGTGAATCCAGAAGGATCCAGAGGGATCCAAGGCCAGGTCCAGCGTGGATCCAGCATGGCTCCAAGGCCAGGTCCAGCATGGATCCAGAAGGCTCCAAGGCCAGGTCCAGCATGGATCCAGAAGGATCCAAGGCCAGGTCCAGCATGGATCCAGAAGGATCCAAGGCCAGGTCCAGCATGGATCCAGAAGGATCCTTGGTGAGGTCCAGCATGGATCCAGAAGGTCTAGTGTGGTCCAGTAGAGGATTCTTGGAGAACTGAGGAAAGGTCCAGCATGGGATCCAGAGGATCCTTGGTAAACCAAGGAAAGGTCTAATGTGAATCCAGAAGGATCCCTGGTGAACCAAGGCAAGGTCAGGTCCGGAAGGATCCTTGGAGAACTGAGACATGGCCCAACATGGGGTCCAGAAGGAGCCACGGTGAACTGAGACAAGGTCCAACATGGGGTCCAGAAGGGTCCTTGGAGAACCAAGGAATGGTCTAATGTGAATCCAGCGTGGATCCAGCATGGCTCCAAGGCCAGGTCCAGCGTGGATCCAGCATGGCTCCAAGGCCAGGTCCAGCATGGATCCAGCATGGCTCCAAGGCCAGGTCCAGCATGGATCCAGAAGGCTCCAAGGCCAGGTCCAGCATGGATCCAGAAGGCTCCAAGGCCAGGTCCAGCATGGATCCAGAAGGATTCTTGGTGAACTGAGGAAAGGTCTAATGTGACTCCAGAAGGATCCTTGGTGAACTGAGGCAAGGCTGGGTCTAGAAGGGTCCTTGGTGAACTGAGGCCAGGTCCAGTGTGGATCCTTGGTGTTCCAAGGCCAGGTCCAGCGTGGATCCAGAAGGATCTTTGGTGAACCGAGGTCAGGTCTAACACAAATCTAGAAGGATCCAAGGCTTGGTCTAGTGTGGATCTAGAAGGATCCTTAGTGAACCAAGGGCAGGTCCAGCATGGATCCAGAAGGATCCTTGGTGAACCAAGGGCAGATCCAGCGTGGATCCAGAAGGCTCCCTGGCTGCCTGGAGGCGTTTGTGCTGGGCAGCAGAGGTGGCGGTGGCTGTGCCCGGGGTGCCTCAGGGCTGGTTCCTGGGTTGCCCCGTGCCCTCGCTCAGCTGTGCCCGTGTGTGCCCAGGCTGATCCCGGCTCACCCTGCCCTGGTGAACGCCATCGTGCTGGTGCTGCACTCGGTGGCGGGCAGCACGCCCCTGCCAGCCGCGGACACGTCCTCGCGGGCCATGGCCTTGGGCTCCTACCGGGACATGCCAGGTACGTCCCCTGCAGGGGGAGCTCAGTGCTGTGCCTGTCCTGGCTGCTCAGCCAAAAACTCCAGCTCCCAATTCCTGCTGGTTTGCCACATCCTTTCATTCCCCTTTCTGCTGCAGGTGGCTTTCTCTTTGAGGGGCTGTCTGATGATGAAGATGACTTCCACCAGGTAAGCAGCCAGGTTGGGTGAACACTTCTTTTTGGGTTTAATTTGTAGCCCTGAGACTCCCAAGCTCTTCCGTTTCAGTCTGGTGAGCAGCACAAGCTGCTCTGGCTCCCCAGGGGGATGTGGAGACAAACATATTGATCCTGGCTGCTTCCATGCTGCTCAGGAGAGGGTTTTCCTCAGTACTGAACACACACAACAGGAAAATGGAACAGAGGAAATGCTCTCACAGCAAAACTGGAGCGTGGGAATGTTGATCCCTGCCTTTCTACACTCTTCCTTTCCATAGGACAAAGGGTTCTGTAAGAAAAACTGGATATTTGGGTCCAAACGTGCCTGTAACAGGGAATTGTTTTGTATCCACCACCCTGGTTTGGGGCTGGTGGATGATAGATTGAGAGGTTTCCTGCCAGTTTCCACAGCTGACTCTGTGGGAAAAAGCACATCCCACTGGCATGTTTGTCTTCCAGAACTCCCACCCTCAGACATTTGGGTATGGTAGGACAGAGACCTGTGGTTTGCCTGGGACACAAACACAGAGAGGTCACAGCTGGGGCTTTTCTGTCTCTCCACGCAGAGCACGAGGTCCACCCCTTCCAGCAGCACGTCCGGCTCGCGCCCGGCCTCGCTGGGCTACGCGGGGGCGGCGGGGCCGCGGCCCATCACCCAGAGCGAGCTGGCCACAGCCCTGGCCCTGGCCAGCACCCCCGAGAGCAGCTCCCACACACCCACCCCGGGCACACAGGTAACGCCTGGGCTGCCACAGCTGGCTCTGCTTTCCCTCAGGGACGGGTGCTCTTCCCTTTGATCCCACCCCAGGCACCCAGGGAACAGCCACCACCAGCCCTGCTCAACCCTGGCTGTGCCTTCCCTCAGGAACAGGTGCTCTTCCCTTTGATCCTACCCTGGGCATCCAGGGAACATCCAGCACTGGTCCTGGTCAAGGCTGGCAGACATGGCTCTGCATTCCCTCAGGGATGGGTGCTCTTCCCTTTGATCCCACGCCTGGCACCCAGGGATCAGCCACCACCAGCCCTGCTCAGCCCTGGCTGTGCCTTCCCTCAGGGATGCATTCTCTTACAGCCGGCACCAGTCCTGCTCAGCCCTGGCACACCTGGCTGTGCCTTCCCTCAGGGATGGGTTCTCTTCCCTATGATCCTACCCCGGGCACCCAGGAAATGTCCAGCACTGGTTCTGGTCAAGGCTGGCAGACCTGGCTCTGCTTTCCCTCATGGACGAGTTCTCTTCCCTTTGATTCCACCCCTGGCACCCAGGGAATGTCCAACACCGGTTCTGGTCAAGTCTGGCAGACCTGACTCCGCTTTTCCTCATGGATGGGTTCTCTTCCCTATGATCCTACCCTGGGCACCCAGGGAACAGCCAGCACTGGCCCTGCTCAAGGCTGGCACACCTGGCTCTGCATGCATCCCTGTGTGATCCCAGCCCTGGCACACCTGGCTCTGCATTCCCTTGGGGGGAGTTCCCTGTGTGATCCCACGCCTGACACCCAGGGACAGCCAGCACCAGCCCTGCTCAGCCCTGGCTGTGCCTTCCCTCAGGGATGCATTCTCTTCCCTTTGATCCTATTCTGGGCACGCAGGGAGCATCCAGCACTGGTCCTGGTCAACCTCTGCACACCTGGCTGTGCCTTCCCTCAGGGATGGGTCCTCTTCCCTTTGATTCCATCCCTGGCACCCAGGGAACATCCAGCACTGGTCCTGCTCAAGGCTGGCACACCTGGCTCTGCATTCCCTTGGGGGGAGTTCCCTGTGTGATCCCACGCCTGACACCCAGGGACAGCCAGCACCAGCCCTGCTCAGCCCTGGCTGTGCCTTCCCTCAGGGATGCATTCTCTTCCCTTTGATCCTATTCTGGGCACGCAGGGAGCATCCAGCACTGGTCCTGGTCAACCTCTGCACACCTGGCTGTGCCTTCCCTCCGGAACGGGTGCTCTTCCCTATGATCCCACCCTGGGCACCCAGGGAATGTCCAGCACTGGTCCTGGTCACCCCCTGCACACCTGGCTGTGCTTTCCCTCAGGGATGGGTTCTCTTCCCTTTGATCCTATTCTGGGCATGCAGGGAGCATCCAGCACTGGTCCTGGTCACCCCCTGCACACCTGGCTGTGCTTTCCCTCAGGGATGGGTTCTCTTCCCTTTGATCCTATTCTGGGCATGCAGGGAGCATCCAGCACTGGTCCTGGTCACCCCCTGCACACCTGGCTGTGCTTTCCCTCAGGGATGGGTTCTCTTCCCTTTGATCCTATTCTGGGCATGCAGGGAGCATCCAGCACTGGTCCTGCTCGAGGCTGGCAGACCTGGCTCTGCTTTCCCTCATGGACGGCTTCCCTTCCCTTTGATCCCACCCTGGGCACCCAGGGAATGTCCAGCACTGGTCCTGGTCAAGGCTGGCAGACATGGCTGTGCCTTCCCTCCGGAACGGGTGCTCTTCCCTATGATCCCACCCTGGGCATCCAGGGAACATCCAGCACCGGTCCTGGTCAAGGCTGGCAGACCTGGCTGTGCCTTCCCTCATGGATGGGTTCTCTTCGCTATGATCCTACCCTGGCACCCAGGGAACAGCCACCACCAGCCCTGCTCAAGGCTGGCACACCTGGCTCTGCATGCATCCCTGTGTGATCCCAGCTCTGACACCCAGGGGACAGCCAGCACCAGCCCTGCTCAGCCCTGGCACACCTGGCTCTGCCTTCCCTCATGCAAATCCATGTGGTCCCTGTCTCATCCCAGCACCCAGGGACAGCCAGCACCAGCCCTGCTCTGGGCTGGCACCCCTGGCTGTGCCTTCCCTCATGCAAATCCATGTGGTCCCTATCTGATCCCAGCACCCAGGGACAGCCAGCACCAGCCCTGCTCTGGGCTGGCACCCCTTGCTGTGCCTTCCCGCATGCAAATCCAGGTGGTCCCTGTCTGATCCCAGCACCCAGGGACAGCCAGCACAGCCTGGATCAGCTCTGGGACACCTTCCTTCCCCCCTGGAGGAGCTCCCTTCCCCATGGGATGGAGGGGAGGGGGTGCTGCAGGTGTTGCTCTGTGCTGGTTCCTTCTCCTGATGTGTCACCTCCTCCTAGGGTCACTCCTCAGGGACGTCCCCGATGTCATCCAGCGTGCAGTCGGGGACACCCATCACCAACGACCTGTTCAGCCAGGCCCTCCAGCACGCCCTGCAGGCCTCAGGGCAGCCCAGCCTCCAGGTCAGTGGAATCCTGCATCCCCTGGCATCTCCCAGCTGCCTCCTGTGGTGGCACCTCAGCCTGGGAGGGGCATCACTGGTGCCTTTTTGGGCTTCCTAAAAGCAGAGGCCAGACAGAATTAAGGGAATAAAAAGCTGTTCTGTTTATTGAAGGGCCATTTGGGACAGGTGAAGCCCCATCCAGGGGCTTTACCCAAAAATGGACCACAGGTCATGGGTTTTTATATCTGTAAGTTTGGTCCATTTGCATTTTGGGGGTTAATCTTCTAATTAAACCTTCAGGTAATTAAATAATTTACCCCAAGTTTCTAAAAACAGGAGCCATACAACATTAAGAGAATAAAAAGCTGTTATATTTTTGAACAGACTTCAGGTACATTTTGAGCAAATAAAGCCCCCCCAGTGACTACACCCAAAAATGGACCACAGGTCACAGGTTTTCATTTGGTCTGTTTGCATATTGGGGGTTAAGCTTCCAATTACACCTTCTGGTAATGAGTCATTTACCCTGAATTTCTGTAAACAGAGGCCAGACAGAATTAAGAGAATATAAAGTAGTTATATTTTTGAAGGGCCTTCAGGTACATTTAGAGCAGATGAAGCCCCCAGGGGCTACACCCAAAAATGAACAATGGCTCACTGGTTTTCATACTTCTATCAATTGGGTCCATTTGCATTTTGGGGGTTAATCTTCTGGTTAAACCTGTGGGTAATGAAGTCATTTACTCCAAGTTTGCTCCTCCAGCTCACTTTTGTTTACATTTCTGGGGCCTGAGGCAGAGAGGTGTCCTTGATTGCCAGGCCTGGAGAGGAATTGTTGTGTCTGCCCAAAATGGGAAAGCAGCAGCTCACGCTGTGTATGGAGTTTAGAATTATACAAAGAATTGCAGGATTACAAATACATGAAAAATATAAGAGCTAAAATCCTAAGGCAGCATCACAGCCACTGCAGAAGAACTGGGTGGAACTGGGATGGAGGTGTTATAAATGCATGTTATATTGTTGGCTTTTTGCAAATATTGAGATAAATGCTGTATATATGATGTTAAAATAACTTTCATTTCTGATAGTAACAAAAAACTTAGACATAGTAATAGTAGTAGCTAATCTACTTATAAATGAAATCATTTAATAAATAAGCTAATAGTTTAATCCAGATAACATCCAGTAGACATATAATGAAGACCTTGCTATTAATATACCATCAACATTTACTGTCTGAAGAAAGTACAGATTAAAGCCCAGACTAAAAGTAATAAAGAAAAAAAGCCAAAACCACAACTAAGAAGCATGCATAGTCTAAAAAAAAACAAACCCAAAGAAGAGCCATACAAAATAGTTCCTAAAATAGATAACTAGTTTATAGAAAAATGTAAATATACATAAGAATCTGTGAATATCCAAGCTAATGTAATAGAAAAAGTATTTTTAAAATGTCCCTGAAGGTAAGTGTGCTCTTGTCTGAGTGCCAAGGTGCACCCAGCCATAATCTTTACTTAACTATCTTTGTATCCTATTTTCCTTTATTAAACTTTCAAATTTTACCAAATAAATAAACCACGTTTTTCACAGAGGGGTGGTGGCTTTGGGGACTTGCAGCATCACTGAGCTTTCAGGAGCTGTTTGCACAGCAGCTGGCTGAGGTGGGTGAGAAACACATTCACTCAACTGTGAGCATTTAAAAAGTTTAATGAAGGGCAGTGGGAGACAAGGACCACAGAGCCAAGGGTGTTACTGTTAAAAACACATTCCCTTTCCTGTGAAAATGTAAAAAGTTTAATGAAGGACAGTAGGAGACAAGGACCACAGAGCAAAGGTTATTGTGGCATCAGCCAAGAGCCCCCTGTTATCTTCAGGGATGCCCCTTAAATACCTTTAATTACATCAGCCCTTTGCATATTCACAGACCCTTATGCATTGTAAATTTTCCCCAAACTAGTTTACACATTCCAAGAATTATTTAGCATGGCTCCTCCTCAGTTCCACCTTTAGATCACGTGGATTCCTTGGCTGTGGTTTCAGTCCCTTTTTGTCCCCTGCAGTTTGGGCCTGTCCCTCACTGCCCTCAGAGGGTGAGTGCTGCTGCTGGCAGATGTGTGCAGGGTGCCCATCCTGTGTCACTGGGTGCTGTGCCACCCCAGCAGGGATTGTAACACACTGATGTCAGCTTAATGAGCAGTGAGCTTAATGAACCACAGAAATGAAATCCATATCTTTATAACAAAGTTACTGTAGCACCACACAGAATCCATTCAATATTTGCAAAAAGCCAATATTATGATGTGTGTCTCTAACAGATGGGACACTGGGCAGTGGGAAGAGCTGCTGCTTTTTCCTGCTGGGGTTCTCAGCCCAAACCTGTCCTGTTTGCTGTGAGCAGAGCCAGTGGCAGCCCCAGCTGCAGCAGCTGCGAGACATGGGCATCCACGACGACGAGCTGAGCCTGCGGGCCCTGCAGGCCACAGGAGGGGACATCCAGGCTGCCCTGGAGCTCATCTTTGCTGGGGGGGCCCCCTAAACCTTCTGCTGGACTGGTGAGTTGTGCTGGGGCAGCAGCTGGGCTGGCTCTGCTCTCCTGTGGGGAGCACTGAGGGCAGCTCCAAATCCTCTCTCCGACCTCCTCAGGACTCCAGCACCAAGCCACCTCTTCCCTTCTCCGTGCTGAGACGTGGCCCCTCCAGTTGTACCATGTTTTATCTGTCCCCACCCTCTGCCTGTTGTTTCATTCCCTGGATTAAAGGGGCCCTGCTCAGTTCCCTGCCTGCTGTGTGGGTCTGTCCTGGCTTGTGTTGCAGATTCCAGCAGGGCAGGAAGGGGAAGCACTGCTGGCCAGGGGTCTAAGTACAAATCACAAACACGTCTCAAGCAGTTCATTTTCCAGCATCACTCTCATTGCATGGTTATGACAATGGGAAGATGCCAGCAGCAGACAAAGCACTCAGTGTTACAACTCACTTGAAAGTTTTGTGGCCAATCACACAAAGCAAAGTCATATTGACAGCAGTTCTACCCAAGCACTATAAGCACAGATACCTCTGGTTAAAACAATGTTTCCTTATTTCAAATACAATACGTGCTTGTAAGCTTTAAGATACAATGCACAGAGCTCCATTATTAAGTTAGAATTTCCTCATATCTTGCTAGATAGACTTTTCTGTAGCTTTGGAAGTTATTCTAGCCAAGTGTTAATGCACAGACCATTGTTCTATTTGTCCTTATTTTCTACTTCTTATACAACTTTTCTGCTGACAAATCTCATGGCTCTGTTTGCAGTTGGCTCACTTAGCTCTAATTACAGTTCTGCTGTTTCTGAGGCCTGCCTTTTGCAGCTTTCCCAAAACCCTCAGATTTTAAGGATCCCACAAGTGGAACTGCAGGGAAAGCTCTGCCTCGGTGGGATGTGGTGCTTTCAGCAGAGGGCACGGCCACCACGAGGTGACAGTGACAAAGGAATTACAAGGGCTGAGTGGGAGCTGGAGAAATGCCCGGTGTGGCTTCCACCACGTGCCGCGGCTGCAAAGCCAATTAACGGCGTTTGCCTGTAATTGCAATCAGTGGGGGCAGCGAAAAGCCAGGCCTGGAGCCGGGCCCGGCATGGCTGGGATTGAGCCGGGGTTAACGAGGCGTGAAAACGGCAGCGGGCTCTGGGAGCAGAGAGCCTCTCCTGCCTCACCTGCAGGCTGCTGTGCTCCCTGATCCCTGTGATCCTCGCTGATAGCATCGCGGTGTCACCCAGCACACCGGGCTTGTTCTCTGCGGGGACCCCTGAGCTGATAGGCTTTAATCCTGTCGAGAGGATTAATGGCCCGAGGGAAGGAGGGAGGGGCTGCTTTTGTGCTCAGCCTGGAGCAGATAAGATGTGATGGACATAAATGGCTTTCCTGACACCCTCCCGGCTCTCTGCTCTCGGCACGCACACGGATTTTGTGTGTAAGGAAACCGATTAATCCCTTCCCATCCCTGGATCCCTTTGCAGGGGCAGCACAGAGCACATGCACAGCCCTCCCTCCCTTCCCCAGAGCCCTGCTTCTAGCCCCAATCCTCCGGGATAACCACGGATTAGCCGGATCACAGCTGCTCCTGCCCAAAGCTGGGAAGCATTTGCAGGCTCTCCCGGCCACCAGCACGTCCAGTTTGCCTTCCTGCACCACCTGAATTCTCAGTTTAGGGCTCAAACCAGACCAGCACGTCCAGTTTGCCTTCCTGCACCACCTGAATTCTCAGTTTAGGGCTCAAACTGGACCTGCTGGTCCAGTTTGCCTTCCTGCACCACCTGAATTCTCAGTTTAGGGCTCAAACCAGACCAGCACGTCCAGTTTGCCTTCCTGCACCACCTGAATTCTCAGTTTAGGGCTCAAACTGGATGTGCTGGTCCAGTTTGCCTTCCTGCACCACCTGAATTCTCAATTTAGGGCTCAAACTGGAGTGCTGGTCCAGTTTGCCTTCCTGCACCATCTGAATTCTCAATTTAGGGCTCAAGCTGGAGCAGCACATCCAGTTTGCCTTCCTGCACCATCTGAATTCTCAATTTAGGGCTCAAGCTGGACCAGCACGTCCAGTTTGCCTTCCTGCACCACCTGAATTCTCAATTTCAGGCTCATTGCTGTCCCAAAATGGTGTTTTTCGTGTCACTCCTGGGCTATTTGATCCCTCTGTTGACCCACGTTTGGCACGAAGCCGTTTTTGCTGCTATTTCTGCTTCCCAACGCCCCCAGCGAGCTGAGAACTGCCTGGATTTTTTGGGTTTTTTTGGGCTGGAAGTGACTTTTCCCAGATTTCCTTTCCCAAAGGCAGGCCTTGGCTGGGAGCAGCAGCTCAGGCACAGGCAGTGGCTGCAGCAGAGCAGAAGTTGGCAGCGCTTCCCTCGCCGTGCCTGAGCACAGGGGGAGCTGCGGGGAGGGGGAGAGGCTCTGCTGCCTCCTGCACGGCTGGGCAGCCTCGGGGCTCTGCTGCAGCAGCTCCTGCAGCAGCTCCTGCAGCTCGGAGGGGGCTGGGAGTGGTTCTGCAGCCCCGGGGCTGCACATTCCTGCTCCCAGCCTCACGTGGCAGGGATGCTCAGGGGCTCTGCAGGAGCAGCAGAACAGCAGGGAAAGGCTTGAAAGAACAGGGTTAGGCTGGGACCAGGCAGGAATTGTTCTCTCTGAGGGTGGGCAGGCACTGCCACAGGTGCCCAGAGAGGCTGTGCTGCCCCTCTATCCCTGGCCTGGAGGGTGCCCCTGCCCATGGCAGGGGGGGAATGGGGGGGCTTTGGGGTCCTTGTCACTAATTGTGAGTGGCTGAACAAAGAGCAAACTGAAGCCTGTTCCTTGTGCTCCGTCCCTGGAGGTGCCCTGCCATGTTGGGAGCAGAGTGGATCTGCTCTGCTGGGCTCTCAGTTCATCCCTCTCCTGCCCTCTCCATTCTCCAGCCCAGCACCCTGGCTGGGCTTTACTGGGAGCAGACTGGGAAGTGGGTGTTGCCTGACCCTGGAAGAGCAGGAGGTCAGGCCACAGTTCCCTGACAGGAACCTTCTGTTTGGGACATCAAAGAGCTGCTCTCGGTCTGCTTCCCTGCTGGCCTGGCTGGGGCTGCCAGGGGAAGCTGGGACAGCAGGGATGGATGGCAGCAGCTGCTTTTCCTCCCCTGTTTTCCATAATCCTGTTTTTGATCCCACTGCTGGACACCTGGAGGGGGTGGAGGTTTGGCTGGGCCCTGCACCATGTGTTTTCTGGAGCCCTTCTTCTCCTTGTCTCTCTCATTTTGGGCTGATTGGTCTCTGCTGGTTAATTTTCCAGCAAAAACAGTGGAGAGGAGGCAGAGCAGAATCTCCCAGGTGGCTTTTGCAGTGTCTCAACCAACGTTGGACAGATTTCCATGGGATAATGTTGGCTCCTTGCTCCCCCAGCCTGACTATTCCCAGTTTGTCCCAGTCACACCTTGCCCTGAACACATAAATTCCAGAAAATCAGTGAAGGTGACTTTCCCTGATGCTCCAGGATTTGTTGGGCAGGTACATCCAGCAGGAGCAGCAGCAGGAATTTGTCTGGCACAGCCTTTGCCCATCAGCTTTCTTTTTTGCAGAGGTTTCCTGGCTGCTCCCAGCTTTGTCCTTGTAGGAAAGGCCAAAACACATCAAAAATTTGAGTTTTTCTTCCTTTCTCAGCTCTATACTGGTCCAATGGGCTCAGGGGTCTCAGGGAAGGAAGAAAATAAGAGGGGACAGAGGTGTCCTTGACAATAAGGACATTTTGGTCTTACTCTTTCTCAGGGAAACTTTGGAGAAAGGAGCAAAGTTCTGATTTTGGGACAGCTGTGAGGTGAGAGCAGGGAGACAGGGCAGGTGACACATCCCAGTGACCTGTGTCCTGTGGGGTTTGCTCCCTTGCCTGCCATGAATCACCATTTTCCTGTTAGAAGTGACAAAAAAGGAGCTCTGATTTCAGCCCTCAAAGCTCCCTTTTAAGGTTACAGAGTTGAGAGGCCCCACGTGATCCACAATAAAAACCAAGCAACTATTTTAATTTGGTGAAAGCAGAAATGGGCTGCAAATGTCACCCTGTGAGAATATTTCTATTTCCTTATGTTCCCTTTTATATTTATAGTGTTCTAATATTCATAAATGTGTCCCAAAATCCCTTTGAGAGGCTTTTCCCCCCCCAGTCTCTGAAATAAATGCTGATTTAAGAGCAGGGTCTGCTGGTTCAGCAGGGATGAATTAATTCAGGGGTTGAGTTGGAGCTGTGGGGTTCCACTCCAGGAACCATAAAAGCATCACAGGGGATCCAGAATTCTTTTTTTTTCCTGCAAGAGCCAAGAACAGAGACTGGAGCAAAACTTTGGAGCAGGGTGAGCAGAGAAAAATCCATTTCTAAGAGATTTTCCAGCATCTGGCTGTCAGAGGCTGGGGCACTTTCAGAGCTGGGTGTTGGGAGCAGACCCCACACGAGGTTTGTCCTTACACTGGTCAGTCTGTGGCCTCTGTGTCACCCTGGGGTGGCCTCAGGTGCCAAGGCTGTGCAGCAGCTGGACAGGAGGAGCTGTGGGGCACGTCCTGGCTCCCAGGAAAGCTTTGAGGGCTCCTTTTGGGGCCCACTGGGGCAGCAGGAGGTGACAAGGACAGGGCAGCCAGCAAGGACTTTGTCCTCCAATGTCACTGGGGCAGGAGGATGTGACAAGGATGGGGCAGCCAGCAAGGACTTTGTCACCTTATGTCACTGGGGCAGCAGGATGTGACAAGGATGGGGCAGCCAGCAAGGACTTTGTCCTCCAATGTCACTGGGGCAGGAGGATGTGACAAGGATGGGGCAGCCAGCAAGGACTTTGTCCTCCAATGTCACTGGGGCAGCAGGAGGTGACAAGGATGGGGCAGCCAGCAAGGACTTTGTCCTCCAATGTCACTGGGGCAGCAGGACGTGACAAGGATGGGACAGCCAGCTAGGACTTTGTCCTCTTATGTCACTGGGGCAGCAGGATGTGACAAGGACAGGGCAGTCAGCAAGGACTTTGTCCTCCAATGTCACTGGGGCAGCAGGACGTGACAAGGATGGGACAGCCAGCAAGGACTTTGTCACCTGATGTCACTGGGGCAGCAGGATGTGACAAGGACAGGGCAGTCAGCAAGGACTTTGTCCTCCAATGTCACTGGGGCAGGACGTGACAAGGATGGGCCAGCCAGCAAGGCCATTGTCACCTTATGTCACTGGGGCAGGACGTGACAAGGATGGGCCAGCCAGCAAGGCCATTGTCACCTTATGTCACTGGGGCAGCAAGATGTGA